GATAATCTGTTTATTTTTCGAAATGCTTCCTCAAATATGAAATAAGACATATATTTTATTGTTTTATGAATTAAGACATATTTTATACATAAATACATATTCACAGTTTATTACTAATTTACAAACGTGTCAGCTCTGATCAATGCCCCACAATCAGATGTTCTTAAAGATGTAAAATCCAAATTTAAAGAACTATAATAGGCTGATAAGATTTGAATCAATGAAGTGGATCTTTTAATTTGTCAAAATCAAGGAAAATCAATTTCTATTATTTAAAAAAATCTTTAAATCAAGATGGACTACAAACATGTCTAGTGTGTCCAAAATAGACACTACTTCCTGTGTGTTGCCCATTTGCACAATGCACAGACAGCACCTCAAAGTTCACTTCCTGTGCATTGCAAAAACTAAAGGTAAAATAAACATTAATATTATCCATTAAAATTAAAATTGAAAGCCAGCAACCTTAAGTATGAGGTAGAAGAGCACTGAGTCATACAGAGTAGAAATGTTCCAGATTTGATCCCTGGTTTATGCATAATGAATCCATGTAGGCCACAGTATTGATGTTACATCTGGCAGCAGTTGGAAAGTGAGATCAATCACAATATTCATTTAGTGACATCTGTCAGTTGCGATACCTCCACTGCTAAGCATTTCCACAAGAAGAGTGACCCTAGTGAGACAGAGGGATCTCACTGATTTCAGTGGCTCTTGAGGTGGTGCTAAGGGGTTGTCACTGCACGGGTATCGCATATATTGGAGGCCCGTGGTTTGATAAGGAAGGAGCTTCCATTCTTATGAGAAATGTGAGGGACAGGTTATAGCTTTGCATGACATGGCAGAACATTGTAAGGCTAAGGGAGCTCCACCTCGGTTGCGTTCAGTGATTTCTTCAAGGCTTTCGAACTAGTGTCCCATGAAGTCCTCATGAAGCAATGGGAAAACATGGTCAAATCTTGGAGTTTATCCAATATGTGTACTCCAGCTCCAAGATCTATGTAAGGGTTGATCGTGGCCTCACTGAGCTCATCTCTCTTTAAAGAGGTGGTTGGGGGTTTGGGGAGGGGGGGGGGGAGATGAAGCAAGACTGCTCATTTTCACCCACCCTGTTCAATTCATTCATCAATGACGTGTTGGATGGCATCGAGGGGGAAGGACTTGGTGTATCTGTTTCAGGCCTCTCTGACAGGATTGCAGTGCTTCTGTTTGTGGACGATATTGTACTACTGGCGGATTAGCCTGAGGACCTTATGTGCTGCATTCACTATCGGCCAGCAAGTGGGACATGATGGTGGATACCCCCAAGTGCGGAATCATGGTTTTCCACGGCTCAAGAGAAGACATTGAGGATATTGACTAGAAGAGACAAGGGCCATCAGTCCCAATTGTTGATTCTTATCAGCACGTGGGGGTTGTGGTGAACCTCAATTTTTACCTGGACACTGTCCTGAAGGACCAAGCAGAGAAGGGGCGAAGGGCACTCTGGTCATGTTCATCCCTCATCAAGGACAGCAAGGTTGCAATGCAGGTCAAGCTTGTGGCATCTAAGACCTATGTGCAAACAGTCCTCCTTTATAGTTCTGAGCTCCTGGTGATTCAGCAAAAAGACTTTCTCTAGCTCACTTCGAAGTCCAGCATCAAACAGTAAGGTGGATTTGTAGCAAACATGTGAAGTGGCAGTAGGGAGGGAGGGCTCTGGCTTACATTGACTTGTTGCTAAGCACCCCGCAGAAGGAGTCGTTTTCACAGCCGGCATGTCTATTTGCCAAAATCCCTGACATGAGGACCTGGATTAATCAGCTGGTGCTAAGTAACCCTCATCCGCAGCATTGGTCTTGGACCTCAATAAGATCAAGGTGGCTGGCACCTCACAAGCTGTAAAGGTCCTCCCACTGCGGAACTGAAGGCAGATGGGGAACTCTGAGGCTTGGGGCAACAGCTGCTGAAAGGCATTACTTGGAGTCAACAGCAACAACTTGGATTTATATAGCGCTCTCCACACCGGACGGCGTCTCAGAGCGCTTCACAGTAATGGATCCCGGGGCCGAGCCAGGGGGAGGGGGAGGAAGGTGACCAAAAGCGCAGTCGAAAAGAAAGGTCTTCAGCAGAGACCTGAAAATGGGAAGGGAGGGAGCGAGACGAAGGGAGTGAGGAAGGGAGTTCCAGAGCTTCGGGGCATAGTGGCTGATGGCACGGCTGCCGAGGGTGGAACGGAGGACTCGGGGGACAAGGAGGAAGCCAGACCTGGAGGAACGAAGGCAATGGGTACTGTTTTGAGGAGAGAGGTCAGAGAGGTAGGGGGGTGTAGAGGAGTGCAGGGACTTGAATACAGGAGTGAGGATCTTGAAATCAAAGATTTCAAGATCTTCGAGTCCCAGTTTCTGAACATGCATTAATTCATCCAGGGCTTGTAATCATAAGAACACAAGAATTGCTAGACAGAAGCCCAAGGTCCATCCAGCTGGACAAGCAGAGGGAAAGTTTCCCATACAGTGTTCTCAATGGCAAGCTATGTGGTTTTAGCTGGTTCGACTCCAGCAGTACCCCGAGACACCCCTAGGGTCCCCAAGCCTTGGCTCTTGCCATCCTGCACCTAATAGTCTCCGGAATTAGATAAACAGGATGCAACATTCCAGGGAGTGAGTGTGCATTCAATTCCAATCAATATCTCGGGAATACACATGTATAGGTGGGCTGCATGGAACTCTCAGTTTGGTTTAGATGCTCTTTAGCATAGTGATGGATTTCTGAATGCGTCACACACCTGGCTGACCCCAAAAAAGTTATGAAATTTAAGTTTTTTAAATCAAATCAAATCACTTGTTTACTTGTCAGCTGCTGATGTCAAGGCACACATGTTGATTTTAGGGTTCAACAATAATGTCTTTTTCAATTTTGTTCACTTGTTCTGTAACAATACTGAGCTAGTTACTACCATGTTTCTAAAAAGATGCATATGATACTAATAATTGTTGCCTTGCTGTACACATAAATCATCAAGGTCACTTTCTGCTGCTTTGCTCCCTCTATTTCAATTATTCCTTTCAGCATAAATTCTTTCACTGTCAAGGCTAAAATATGTTCATTTCTTTATTAAAGTTTGATCATGGGAAATAGATTTGTCTGCAGTATTTTAAGGCATTATTCTTGAATTAACAATAGCTTCAAAGCCAAACACAATCTACCGTCATCAAAGAAAGTACAGAACAATTCACATTTTTAGTAAACCCCTTCTAAGTAACTGAAATAAAACATTTTAACTGTGTGGCAACTATTCCAGATAATGTTTTTGATAAACTGCTTTACAGAGCAAAAGTGATTAATCAAATTAAATCAGTCTGTGTACGACAAGCACAATAATGACTTCATTCTACTTGTATGGGTTTGTCTTAGAATAATGATTAAGATATAAAATCCTATTTAGTGCACATAAATTCATACATTCAAGGCTACTTTTTGAATTTTTTTCAAAGACATAAGATTCATAGTAACTGTGTTTTTCTGGATGGGCCTGCTTTAACTTGTCAGGGTATTGATCTCTATGATTACAATTTGAAAACAAAACATTTTTTATTTCTTTGTTTCTCTTCATTAGATGTCCTTGGATTATTAACATAAAAAGACGGGTGGGGGAGGAGGGGACGTGATCATTCACCATACCCCAGTAGTTACCAAACCACTCACTAGGAGGTACAAAGTCCACACCTGGTAATCTCCATTCAAATTATTTTTTCTACGGCTTGTGAAAAACTATCTGATTTGGTCTCCAGTAGAAATTGAATTACTGAACAAAAATGTGACTCTAAATAAACACTGTAATTAAGTGAAAGAGGGAGAAGATTAGGAACTCCTTACGTGGGAATCAAGGATGCACAACTATGTCCTACCACTTTAGAGCACAGCAAATTTCAGCACCATAGCCCTATGTCACCACACTGGCTTTTTTATATTTATCCATTGTGAGCTTGTGAGAAACCGTCTCACTAAAATATTTCATAAGTTATAGAATGCACACACCATCAAGGAGAGAAAAACATATTTTGGTCACCTAGGAGTAAGTAGATAATAACAATGGCATTTTTACAGGTACGTTCTTTACATTTATTGAGTCATCTTATTTATAAAAAAAAGTATTTTGCCTAGGTTATACATTGATTATATTATTGGATTGAACTGATGAACAATATTCGCTGAACTGCCACTACATGTGAGAATACGCTTCACACTACTATGAGTCGCTGACTCTAGTAGGCAGCAATCTTTAATAAACAGACACAACTGCCGGCTGACACTACAAAGCATATCTTATAAACTGCTCAAATGGGTGAAAACATTTTCCATTTTAAAAATAAATTTAGCTTCTGGGTATAATAAAGCAAAATATTGACTTCAGTTTGCTGGCTGAAACTGATGAATTATTACCCCGCTCTGAATGCAGATGTGCTTTCAAGTGCACAATAACTCAACACCCTTTTTCTGCTTTTCTCAAGACAGTACATAGCCATTATTGAACCTGCTCATCAGGGTGGGGAGTGCACACCACAATTTTTTGTTTCTATAAAAATACTGGTGTCAAATTCTACTGATCTCACTAACAAGTATTGTAAAATATATTCCGTATATTGCGAATGTTTATATTTATGTTTCTCCATTGTGACAACAAAGTGTGTTGACAGTTAGTGATTTTGTTTTCTCTCTCCTGAAGTACGGAATTAAATATAGTAACTAACTCAGCATCTGCTTTGGCCTGTACTTTCTTTTTTCTCAAATACAGTGATGGAACTTTCTGAATCATGAAGTTTGCATTTTAATCGACTCCAACTTATTTCATAGGTAATAAATAGCATTTAATTTTGCTTCATTAATCATTCAAATGAGATCTCTGCACAGAAAAATCGTCTCTCAGGTTTTTTTCTGCATGAGGATCTAGAAACAAAGCATTTCCAAAAGTACATTACTCGTTAACAATAATGTCACCTTAAAGAATGATATATTACCTTTGGATCTCTGAGGAAGAGTGCTTTGTGGATTAAGGAATGTATATCTCCTACAGAAGGATAATGCATAAGCAATCCAAGGCAGGTCTGATAGTTACTGGCAATCACTGAGGAAGATAAACACATTATGTATTAGCATTAGGTGCTTTCAAACCTATTGGTGATAAAACATATATAATCCATCATTAACAACGGTGGCAGGAGAAATTGGCCAACCTTTTGTTCAAGAAAATGGGCTCTTTAAATGATAGGGTTACAAGTACAGTATTAACATGAGATGAATCAGTTCAACAAAAAATAAGATATTAGCAATTCATTCAATAGTTCAATGCTGTGATGCAAAGATGGTGGGGGGCTGATATTCTGGAGTTTAAAATGGACCTATTTCATTCAAACGTCTCTTGTATTGTCTTATATTGTCTTTTTCCCAGAATTTCTTGAAGTCTTATAACATGCCTCTCGAGGCGTTCTAAGAGCTCTCTGACAACAGTTCAACAGCCAAGCACTTTCTTGTATTAAGTCAAACCCACACAGCAATAAATACATTCCAACCTTGTATCTTAGGTGGTGGTGCATTGTAGATCTTGACATTTAACGATTATGAGCAAGCTGCCCCCCACTCCCCCCTCTCTAAAACCAAGTGATTGAAACAAATAATTATATTCAATGGTGGGAACCACTTCATCATCTTCATTTCCTTTGGTGATCCGACAGCTTGTAATTTCATACATCTGGTTTCATTTGTGAAGCACTCACTTATCCTGATCACTCTTCCATAATACTTTTGTTCTCTTGTGACCATTTACTCTACTTTTTGTGAACGCCATTAAAGCAAAACACACATAGCATTTTAACACTATATGATAGTCTTATCTTACCAGCCCACTGGATAGTACAGAATCTTTAGAAAATGTAATAAATATGGCTTTTCTTATGAATTTGACATTTTAAATCAATGCTTAATATATGCCAATTTAAGAGATTAGAAATATGTAGTTATTTAATTAAACGTTTGGATGCCTTCTAAATACAGGCATCATCTCAAGCTATATCAATTAACCCAGCAATATGGAAATCTTTGTTAAGAATTATGTTTCTTTTTCACCTCATTCAATCTCAACAATAGAGGTGGGGTCAGGGGAGGGGATTAATTTTTCTAACGCAAGGGCATCCGAAACATGCAAGTCATTCATGAGCAGTGGGAGTAATGGTTTGGTCACAAGGTGGCAGGCTTGTACACACCAATGTACGTGTGGCTTTCTCTTACATTTGGAAATTAGGAACTGTCAGAATGTATTATGCAATAACAAGTTTTAAATATGTACTTTTGTAAAATATTATGAGTAACTGCTATGAATGTTTAAATAATAAGTGGAGAAAGTTTCAGCACTGAATTACAAAAAGTATTTGAGCCATACTTACAAACATCTCTTATGTATAACAGCATGGCTACAAAAATGTAGTCGACTAAATCCAAAGTAACACTGTCAGCAAATAAGGTATCCCAGATCACCAGCAGGTCCTGAAGAGGAAATTCTCGGCCGAACAAAAGTCTGACCCATCGTCTACAAGAAGAAAAGACAAACTACCAGTTTATTTGCACAGGCTCAGCTATTGTTACATAATTAAATCAATTCCAGAATGCATAATTCTAAACGTTGAGAAGTTATAAGTCTAATCTAATGTTATGGGTAAAACTAAGGAAGGTTATAAAAACATAGATCAATAAACCCCAGTAAAATTCAAGACTCTGTATTGTCTGTGAATATTCTTTAATTTAATACTGAACTATAGTTGGAGGTTTATTTTGTATTTTTTATAACAAAGCAGAGACTGTAGACAGTGGAACTATGATTTAAACCTGCATTCCATCTTGACTCCGACTTAAATTGGAATGTGTGTCCATCTCGTAGCAATTCATGTGTCTGGAGCTCCACTGACAGAAAGATTGTGATTACTCATCAAATCTTCACCACTGATGTTGTATACCTGTTTAAAAGTGTTGCTAGTTCCTCGTTGTTGCAAGTGTCTAGAGTTGCAGACTGTTCCTCCAGCAGGAAAAGATATGTACGTGTCACCGACTCACATAATCTCACCCCGAGACAATTTTGAGTCGGAGGTTGATGTTAAGTTTATGCATTTCTCTACTGGCGATGCAATTTATTGCGTAAGGGTATTTTCCAATGGCAAGGCACCAGTAATACTGCTACTTTTCTGATAAGCACCTTTACAAATCTAATGTCGTGACAAAAAGATAGAATTGTAGAATTTTATACACCTGAGGCCATTCAGCCTTATGTACCTACTCTCTAAAAGAGCAATCGATTTCCTCCTTTTAGTTTCACTCCTCTGTCCTTTCACGGAATCAGAGATATGTTAGGTGTATAATTTTGACTACATTTATGTGTCAACAAGCTCACCAATTAAAAATAACATTTCTTCCTTATTTTGATTCCTAAAATGTAACACTTACAATTTTAATATTAATAATTTGGTCACTCAATCCACAACATGATTTGGGACACTGCTGTGTACAACTGGAAGCCACATTTTGCTTTACGGTATATCCTATGAAGCGCTTTGAGATGTCTCTATGATGTGATAAGGCACTATATCAAATGCAAGGATTATTATTATTAAGATCAATTCACTTTTCTTTTTAAAACTTATTTATGTTCTAGATTATTATAGAACAGAAATTGCATTTGGAGCATAAGGTTTGGCTGACGTTTCTCTCTATGTGAGCCACGTGTTTATAAATCCCATGTTCCTGTTTACTCCCTATTCCTTCTAATGTTCCTTTTAACAGAATTTACGGACTCTGTTTCAACATCAAATCTCTGCAGCGACTTGAACCTCCCCCTTGCCACTCTGCAAATAAGAATCCAGTCAAGAGATCTACAAGGTAACATCTATGATTGGGCCACATTGATCACCAATCTTCTGCCACAGTGGCCAGATTTGAGCCAAAGCAAACAAAAATTGCTCCTACCTTCCAGAATGGATGGTGGGAGCTGGATTAAGAAAAAGGAAAGAAACAGATTTTAGTTAAAATAAGTTGTATCAAGTAAAACAAAAGGGGGAAGGTACTGCAGGAAGCATTCCTGAGACACTTTATAAACGTGAGAAGTTGTTGTTTGTAGCTGCTGTACTGTTGTATTGATTAGTTCTTCCATATTTATATAACAAACAGATATGTGATGGAAACAAAACTGAGATTATAGTAGTTAAGCAACATGCTGTATTTTGAGGCATTATGACTTCACCTCCATTGTAACTGTGTTTCATGGGATAAATATACATTGATAGCAAATATTGAGACTATCTAGTGTTACCTTGAATAAATTCAAACAGTTGTGCATTTTTTCCATTCAATGCATAACCTTATCTTGACAGTGAATTAACTGTCTTATACAAAGATTCTGAACAAAGAATTGAATTTTGATTTTTGTTCTGACTATAGTTGTGCCATATCTTGAAGACACCTCAATAATCAGGACAATTCTCCATTTCGGGCCATATTTTTAGTCTTAATTTTCTATTTGAAACTAAGGGCGACCAGTTTCCCAACTCACTAATGCAGGTACCTCGGTAATAAGAACAAAATCAGCAATTTGTTGACTGTGTGTAAAAGTGAGTTTGCACTGTACTTCCTTGATAGGGTAGAAGAAATATGCATCTTCATATTATCATTTAATATGGGTAGGGTGTCCATATTAGCTGGTTAAGCAGCAGAAGGCTTGCCAAAAGGTGCTCTCACAGGAAAGCGATGTGGTTTTAGCTGGTTAAATTCCAGCAGTACCCCAATGCACACTGCGCCTGACGTCCCTCCAGGGAGAGAGCGTATATTCCATTCCAAACATGGGGACATTTTCAGGTATAGGTGCATACATATATGGAACTCTCAGCCTGGTTTGATACTCGTAAGTATGGCGATGGGTTCACATTGTGTTTAACACCCGACTGACCAGAAATACAGTAAATTATCAGGTTAAAGTTAACCTAAAGTTTTAAAAAATGCAACGTGTCCAATTATTTTTCTATTTGTTTTCTCCTCTTTGGCACATGCCTCTGTTCCTGATCGCTAGACCTCTCTTGCTGGAGTGTGGTTCCAACTATTTTTTGAGTCAAAATATTATCAAACATATCTCACTATATCATTTTTTTCTCTTAAAGGAAATAATTGTGAATGTATATAGCTGAACAGTTACCTTTCAACTTTCACGTGTGTTCACCTGTGTTATATGAAAGAACCTTTCAGAATGGCTTTTGAGTACCAGTAAATTATGGACTAAATTCTGCTTATTTAACTACTTTGCATAATGTTAATAAAGTTTTGAAATAGCAAGAAATGCATTCACTAGAATCACTCTCCACCTTTGTGCTCTGTAAAACCCCTGCTGGCAACAAAGGCTCCAGTGACGGGGAACTAATTTACTAATTAACCGGCGTCTTTGTTGGGAACCATAGCATTTAACTGTGCAGAAGAAAGTGCAAATGCTGTTCTTTCAAGTCCCTGCTCGCAGAGTATGTAGTGGAGGCAGGCGATGCCTACACTGTTTCTAATTATTCCAATTATCATGGCACACTATGAAAACTTGATTAATAACACTGAAGATATTGTTGTGGCAATTAGCCATATGGTTATGGGACTTTATTCTGTCACGATTTGGCCATTAGCATCTACTTATGTTTGTCAGATGTACTGCATCCGTGACAAGTTGAAGTTCCGCTCACCTTGTACAATCCCATGTGTACCACACTAGAGAACAGTTTATTCCTCAGAGTTGCTTGCCTGAGTACATTTTTCATGTAGCATCCGGTCTTACTGGGGACAAATGTCAAACAGCTTCTATGACGACCCATCAAACCAAATGCTCTCTACAATAATACTTTAGTAAATTTGCCTGTCAAATCAGATGATTGTCACAATTTGACCGCCAAAAATTATCATTAATTTATTTTTAACATTTTACCATTTACATGGTATTCTCAAGGGCTAAACTTGTTGTAATACTCCAGATGGCACTAAAAATGTATGAGGCACATCGTATTGTAGGCAGCAAGTTTTTTTTCAAGGAATGCTAAAGCTACGGTGTCCTATGCTGCTTATGCTGCAGTCTGTTAGTGTTGAAGCAGCAAATAAAATACTTTTACTCTTCTGTCCATTCCCCCTTCTTTCTTCCATTTACCAAAATAAATAATCCGTGCATTTGGTTTAGCGCCTTTCATGCTGGTAAAATGTCTAAAAGCGATTCACAAGGTTCATTGTAAAGCGTAGTGACTGTTGCATCTACAGGCAAACACAGCAGCCAAATTGTGTACAATTTTCTCTATCTGTGACCAGGGCTCCCTCTGCCTTCTCCTCCTCCTGGATCTCTCTGCCACATTCGACACAGTTGACCACGCCATCCTCCTCCACCGCCTCTCCTCCCTCATCCACTTTACTGGGACCGCACTTGCATGGTTTGAGTCCTACTTAACCAACCGCTTCCATTTCATCTCAGCAAATGGTTTCTCCTCCCGCACCCTCCGCCTCATCATCGAAAAATAGCTTGCAATTAACCAATATAAAAAGTACTAATTGCCTATATAACAATATTCACTTTGTTTCTATTCAATTATAAACAAACACTTTGAAACATTTATTGTTTTACATGAGAGAGATTATATATATAAAGTTATTATTATAATAAATGCAGTTACTTCACTAACCATTTAGTGAAACATGAATACAAGAACTGCCATAAATGATCTCTGACTTGTGTTGTTTCAGTACATAAACTACATGGTGTAGCACATAGCCATAATGACAAGAAAATCAACTTGTGCTCTGAACAGAGCTCACTAACTTCAGTGTGAATACCTGTTGTGAGGAAGAAGAGAGTAAAGGAAAGAGAGCGTTGAAAAATAAAAAATAAAAAAGAAATGTTAAGCTTTTTTTGATGAACCCTTAAAAGAAACTGAAAATAACTTGAATTTTAATGCTCTAATACTGTACTGATGATCCAAAAAGTCATTTCAAAGAATGTCTGCAGTCAGGTAACATTTGACTAACGTTTGCAAAGCCATACAGACTCTTATTGATAAGAATCTTTTATATTATTAAAACCTTTTTACACATTTTACTTCAATTAGACATTACACAGAATTTTGTATTCAGAACACCAGATGGAATTTGTACTTCAAATTCTTTCTATCAAAACAGTAAATAAAAAGGAACATATGCATTCCACCAGAACAAATTATATAATAAAATAGAATGTCTGTGCACTTCCTCTCATAGACACAGTGAGCACTTGTCCTTGTGAGGCAGGTGTACTATAATATTTGGATATTTACTCAGCTTAATACAGTGAATGCCATACTCAGTTTCTTTAAGCAACGTCAAAGTAGACTTCCAAATTTTCACAAAACACACATCTCTGATTATGTTTATTAATTATATCTAACCTTGTTTAGAACTGTTGTAGCCAACTACTTTTAAGCATCTATAAAGATCAAAAAAAAAGAGCATTCCTCTGGTGAATTACTGCAGTAACTACTCTTTTCCTGTTGGAGGAAC